GTGTGTGTGTGTGTGTGTGTGTGTGTGTGTGTGTGTGTGTCCCAGCAGATGTGATGGAGGGGAAAAATGCCATGCTGCTGGGCATGAGTCAGTGGAACTCCAACGACCTGGTGGAGCAGATTGAGACACTGGGACACATGGACCCGTCTCATGGTACACACACACACACACACACACACACGCACACACGATATATGGTTGACTATGCCTTGTAAAACCCAAAAACAAGAAATTTCGAACTTGTTCATGCCTTAGTAGAAAGACGAGACATTGTACTTGGCGAACACAGAAAGTCTTTTAATACTCCAACTGCTGTCACACTCAAACGAAGCCTCGGGCGCCCCCCAGAACAGAAATCACATGTCTCTTCACCACATTACCTAAATCACGTCGCATCTTTTTTGTTCCAAGTATCTTAACGATTGTATGTTTGCAATCGATGCAGCTTTGTTTTCTACTGTCTATCTGTGACTGCAGCTGCCGTGTGAATCAAAAGACCTGGGATACTGCATTCCATGCATCTTCTGTGTACAATTTTTTTCTCTTCCTGACATTCAATTAACTGGAAGGGCAATTCTTATTGTTTCCCAGTAATTATACATGTGTGATTGCCAGCTGGCTCCACATATGCTGTCAATCCGACAGCCGTTGCCGTGTTAGTCAGAAGACCTTCTACAGTTATGGCATTCCACCAATTTGTTCTCTAAAAAAATTCTCTTTCTTGCAAGGAATAAACTAGAAAGACAACATCTTGATGTCATCGAAATCACAGGTACCTAAAACATATTGCCGCAATAACAAATGAGACTTCCGTGTGCTTGAATTTATTTAGTTTTTGTTTTTTTAGTTGTGAATTTCTCCATTGTGAGACAAATAATGGTTTTCTTATCTTTTCTTATCTTTTTTTTCGGAGATTTGTGGCTTGCTGCTGAAAATGCCAAAATGCCAGCATCCCCTCCCCCACCAACCCCCCCCCCGCATTTCATTTTAATACCACAAGCAATATTCCAAATGTCACTGGTCTCATATCAACAAGAAGCCCAGTAGTGGAGCGAGAAAAAAAAAAACTAAATACCAAAATGAGAATAGGGAGCTTACACTCTGATGCAGTGAGCTGATTCTTTGGTGCTTTGGAATAAAAGGAGCTTGAGCACAGTGAGCCCAAAATGAACATAAGAGTGTGCAGGGGGGTTGAGAGAGGATGTGGGGAGGGGGGCAGATAAAAACATGCAAAATATGCAATCTGTTTGAACCATAGAGCAATTTCCCGCTCGCTTTCGCCGTCTGTGGGCTTCAATCGCTGTTACCAGCGGAATAACAGCTAGGAGCTCTCCGAAAATTGTAAAAACTGCAATATTCAATGCAAGGTCAATGCAGCTATTTTCAAATTTTCTCCATCAACATCATGAACCACCTCGCGATCACATACATGCAATTGTTCACAGGGTGTTGGCGATTCCCTGTTGCTCCCCGAGTTGTCTTTTGTGTGGATTTCTTGCGGTAAAGAGCAATTGTTTCGACCAAGTGTAGAATGTTGAACACACACGAGGTCTTCTGACTGCCACGGAAGCTAGTCTCCCACTCAAACTAAACATTGGGTTGCCTTGTGATCAAAAGCATACAATTCTTTACTGGGAAGCAGTTGTCAACGTAAATTCCAGACAAGGAGAAAAAGAAATTGCATAGAGTAGACACGCCGAGTGCAGGATACAAGAAGTTCTGACTTCCATGGCAACTGATGTCACACTTAAACGTAGAATCGCCTCGGGGCATTTTCTCCCAGGTGCTTAAGTCAGAAAAGGCACGCTGCTGCGCTTTTTTGTTTTGTTTTGTTCTGCACATTCTCCCATCGGCTGAAGTGTGTCCACACTCTGGGTGGAGTGACCTTCAAAATGGAGGCGCAACCTGACAAATTTATCAGTGTGCACATTCTCCCATAGCATATTTTGATTTTGGTGCTCCGAAGGCTGTACTAAGGTCTTAGCGCATAGGCAAAACATCACATTGCACATTTTGACTCATTTCAGAGCCGCTGACGGCAGGTAATGACTGTGATCTGCTGAATCGGCCAACTCGGCTGATTCATGCCGACATGTGGACACGGCTTGGGGGTACACTTGTCCCATATCCGCTCACTGACTGCCCTATGCTATGCTCGGTGCGCCAGAAGTCTAGACGGGAGAATCGCCGCGCCTTGGAAGCGAGCAAGAAAAGCCCGTAAAGAATAAAGTGCGGACAGGAGAATATGCCCCCCCTCACATGCCTCCATATTACTATCTACCTAGCGGCGTCTCAATGAAGAATCCTAATAGAATCCATTCAGCCAAATCGGAGCCACCCTGCGTGACGCACACAATGTGCTGCTGACGCAACGGTAAATTTTCATTTGTGCTCTCAGCGGTCATAAATCAGCTCAAGGTTTTTATGTTGATTTATGCAGAGTGTTTGGGATTTTTAATAGAATACTTGAACTCGCTCTGCAGCTGCCGAGGGATTTGATCCATTAGCTGTGAGACATGCATTGCGATTAATAATAATCATGTTCATATTTAAGCTTTTTGTCTCCTACCATTAATGTCTGTCAAGTGTCGCTTCCAGTAACATGCAGAGTGCTAAATGTGAATGCACTGTGCAGTTTAATCAGTCAGTTCTACTCGATGTAACTTCAGCTCAGCGAGCATCTATAGAATCAAGTCCTCTTGGCCTTTGCGTGTGTTTAGTGTGTGCGAGCATGTGTCGGTGATGCCATCATAGGATTCATTCTTAAGCCATGTGTAGGGTTTCAAATAATACTTTCAACCCAGGTTAGGCTCTCAAAATGAGGTGTTTTTTTGTTTGTTTGTTTTTTTTTTTTAATTTAAGGTTTCAAAAGAAGGTTATTGTTTGGATTTCAAGGCAGGTTTAAGATTTCAAATTTGAGTTTCCAATCACTGTTAGGCTTTTAAATCAAAATAGGTTTAGGGTTTTAATACTGAGGTTAAGGTCTTAAATTACTGTTGAAATAAAGGGTTCAAGTTTTGATTTATGCTTTAAAATCAGGGTTAAGGTTTCAAATTTCAACCTCAGATTACAGATTCAAATTTGGAATACACTTTAGGGTTTCAAATGATTTCTTCAGTAGTGGTACCACTGTACTCACAATCAAATGCTCTTAGAGTTGGTCAGTAACATTCACGGTATCATCAGTTTTATGATATAACGGTCTCACCTTGGAGCCTTCCCATTATTTTCATTGGGAAAATATTTTCAAAGTATGGAAGAAAAAAATGGAGCCTTCAAGGTTAGCTGTGAAGCTTCCAGATCCAAGGTAAGTGGAAGCTTTCAAAGACTTAACTTCAGTTGGAAACGCCAGCATGCTCCCGCGTAGATTAAAGAAATATCTCCTGCAGAGATGCTCCACAAGGTGCCTTTATTTATTTATTTATTTTTTCTCTCTCTCTCACACACACACACACACACACATAGATGAAGAGGAGGCCACTCACTAAAGCATTAAGGACCTGTGAAGTGCTCCACTGTTCCACAAGTACGGGGACACTTTTGAGCATTTCATCCACTCATGTGCCCAAACGAGCTTGACTGAATGTGCAGTGGACTTTTTATTTTATTTTATTTATTTAATTTCGAGGGGGCTGAGTGGATGATTTCAAGTCGTCGTGTACTTCTCCTGTGCAAGGTGGACAAATGGCATTAAAGTAATAGTATGACATGTCTAGTCCCTGAGTGACTTGCAAAGAACAATTTCATTACAGTAACAGGACTTTGTTGGTGTGTGTGGACATTTTTTTGGTCTCTGTGGATTATTCGGTCATTGTGTTTCTTTCTATTCTGCAAGGCGCCGGTTATCATAAATAACCGGCAAGAGGAGTGATCACATTAATAGCTCCCATTTTTTAGTCCCATCCTCATTTTGTGTGCGCGTAATAAGCGCTGACATTAGTGTGGGCCGCATCGTGGTGCGGCGTGGGTCGGCCTCATCCCTTTAAGGGGAAATCTATCCGCAATTAACGCCTGAAAAGTGCAGCGGGCTCGTCACAGTCAGCGCCACCCATTAAATGGTCTATTTGTTATTTCCTCTGAAGCCTTTATGGGTTCCTAACCTTGCCAATTATTCCTTCATCTCCATTTTTTCCAATTGTCCTCATCCTGTGTGCTCCCCCCCCCCCCCACTCTGCCCTTTTCGTACATCACCTCCATTCTCATTATGTCTCTCTCTGACGTCTTTCTGCAAAGGTTTGTCACTCCACTCATATAAACGCTTTTACTCAAGTCCGAATAGCAAAGAGATGCAAGGCCTCACAAAGACAGGATAATCTATATTTAAAAAGTAGTTGTAGTAGGTGTTAAATAGGAATACGCAAGTAGCAAAACCAGGTATCAGTATTGGGTATTGTGGAAGCCGCCGATATCAGCCAACGATACTCAAAACGCCCCAAAAATCAAAGTTGGGTTTCCTGTCTGGGTTCATTTTTCAAGTAAAAGTTTTGAATCCGAGTCAGGGTTTCAAATTGGTTTTTGAATCAGGTTTTGGGATTCAAATTAGAATTTCATGTCAAGGTTAAGGTCTTAAATTAAGGTTTTTAGACAGGCTATTGGAAGCATTTTAAACATTTTGTTTTCATATTAATAGTGGCGCTGAAGACCTGAAGAGAAAGTCTGCATGCATTATTCCATGTAACTGCCGAAGAGATGACAAAGATGGCTTTCCTCACGTCTGCGTCCTCCTGCGGCGCTCTTCTCCCAACCATCTGCTTGGCTACACAAGATAAATGTGACACCGCGACAGCGCGAGAGACCTGAGGGGAAACCGCAGCGAATGGGAAAGATACACGCAAAAAAAAAACCATCCCATTTAAGGAGGCTGATTCATGTGATCCAAACGGGAAGATCAATATTTCCTTTCATTTCATGAGACTTTCAGCCATCTTGTTTGTCTCATTGACTGTTTTTTCAAAAAAAATTGCAAATCTTGCCGAATCAAATAGATTTCAATGTCCGACTACTGTATTTTGCTGGTATCGGATCCCAAATCTTGCGTTATCTGATCAAATTGATGATCCATCCACCTTTGGTATGAGGATGTATCGTTCTATGTATCGACACCGCTTGCCCAATATTTCCATGGTTTACGGCTCGGCACCAAATTTTGAAAAATCAAATCAATTTCATTTTTAAAAATGTGTCTGTATTTGCAAAACCAACCCTGTATTTACGTATTATTGAATATCAATACCAAATGTTACAGTATTGGATCAATTTGATTATTCAAACGTATTGCTATCACTATGGGTAAGCATAATCGGAACCTTTTTTGTACTTGGTATTGAAGATCGAGAGCAACTCTTGCCGTTTCGCACACCACAGCCTCTCGAGAAAAATGCTGAAAACCAATCATTATCTTTATGTGGACACATGGCTGCATTATTACTTGCAGCCATTAACCTTGGCCTATTACTCCAAGCGTGTAAGACCTCTCGTCTTGAAATAGTCCTTTTGTGGGACCCGACAATGTTTTGTCTCCAGGGAATGCCGGAACTTTTCGCTTTCCTCCTTTCTTCCTGCCCTCTCTCCTGCACTCCTTCCTTCTCTCCACTTTTTAACAAGAAAATCTCCCTTCATTGATTTTCTGTTGCTTTGTGACCAAAAATAGTGTCGCCGTGCAGCGAGCTCCCTTCTGTGCGGCAGGGCTGCGAATAGAGGACAGAATAAATCCAAATAAACATTCAATTTAGAGAGGAAATTGAATGCGATGACGGTCTTCAGAAGCTTTAAGAACATGGCTGGTTTTTTTTGTACCCGTGGGGGGACAAAAAATCCTTCTCAACTAACCATATAGGAGTAGCAACATCCAGTCTGAAGCTGCAATGAAGACAAATTAAGAGGCGTTTGTGTAATATCAACCGCCTTCACAGATCGATATCGTTTGCAGAGGTAGGAGTCTTGACTACATTTCAAATCTTAACCTTTAATTTTCAAGCAAATCGAGGTTACTGTGGAGAAGTCATGCAAATCAAGTTCAGATCCCCAAGCAATTTGAGTCAAGTCAACTTTATTGTCAAATGCGCTACGTGGGCAACATACAGCACAGATGCAATTTCTTTCCTCAGGG